TGTGGGGAAAAAGTACCTTCTTTGCCATTTGTCATCACTATTGCAAAACAGGTGAAGGACATGTTTCAGAAAGCCTCGCCTATTCAACATAGTGCTTAAGAATGGGTTTATCTCCTTCACTGAAGACAGATGGCTTCCACCACCTTTTTCACGTTTTGATGATTAAGAAGTAAAGGACAGCATCAAACACAGTTGAATCTTCAAGATTAATACAGGTGTATGGAATTCAATCACTTCGTATACATATATATCAGGAAATCAGCCTGACTACCCTACATCCTTCAAAAATGACAGCCTGTATAAAGCTGAAAAACTGTGTAGAACTATCTTGCTTTGTTGTTTTTTGATTCTTCCTGAAGTAATTGCAAATGTTAATTTTCATCTAGAGGCTAAAACCATGGCAGCAAAAGTTTCTTTGTAAAGAGGAGTGTGGAGCTTCCATGCTGCTGTAGTTCTGACAACTTTTTGCAACATAAAAACAAAAAACATGCCAAGGAAGTTAAGAGTATTATTATTCAAAGCAGTATTTCTGCTTCAGATGCCTGAAAGGGAACTTTCAGTTTGAAAGAAAATGTATTTTTGTTTCTGAAAATCCTTATTAAAATGTTCACACAACATATACAGTCGTGTGTGGAAGACAGATACATATTTTGCAGAAAAGAGAAGGAATATGAAAGGGGTTATTAGAGCAGCAAGTTTATGCTGCTGTAGTGAAGACTATAAACCTTTCCGTTGCAAATATTTATTTTCAGAAGTTTATAACTCATACCTAAAAAACTCCTCCTGACTGAAACTTGACCTGATGTCTGTCTCCAGAACCAGCAATACACAAAGTGAAACAGTTTAGCATCTGCTTTACAATTGGATACAGACATAAAAAGAGGTTGAAAGGCTACCCTGGGCTATTATATCTAAAGCCGCTTTATTTTCAAGAGTAACTTTTTACAGTCATTAAGATATGCTCTGAAGTACTTCCACAAAACATCTTAGATTTGGTTCCTCTGCATGCTGCAGCAAGCAGAGACAATCTGAACCATAAGGAGTATTCAAAAGTCTGAGATGCACAAATGAATGTACTTCATATATAAAGACATGCAGCTTGCATGTGAGTATCTGCTGTTTCACACATGATTGATCTGCGCCAGCCCTGGTGGAAATGGCAATGAGCGATGCTGTAGAACTATATTAACGTTCGTGTGTCACTCATAATTTACAGTTGCTGGTGCAGTGGTGGAGGAAGCATTACAAAACCTTTGATAGAGACTTGCTAAAAGAAGCTAAGTCATAGCTCAGTTAACTACATGAACTTCAGGTGTCACAGAACAAGTAAATACAAAAAGGATTAATTTCTCCTCCTTAGTAGTCAGGGTGAGACACGCAAGGTCAACAATAGTCACCCAATAGTAAGAACATCCAGCAGTGTGTGTGAGAATAAGTACCGTACAGATATTCAACCTAATGCTCTCACTAAAGGACCTGGTTAAAATTCATTGATTATCTAACTCCTGGAAAAGAAACCCTAGCTGCCAGTAAATTGAACAGATCATACAAGAGCTCGATATTCTGCTATAAAAAATTTTTAAAGAATTATATCCATGGGAACAAGGGGTATATAAAACAAAATAGCGAATTTTAAATTGCACCAGCTTGCTGGTTCTGCATGACCCAATATGCCAGCTTGTGATGAGGGATTCTTTTTAATCACAATGACTCAGGTGCGGGTCCCATCTGTTGATGCCAATTACAGCAGATCACCAAAAGTCTTTATTAGCTATAAATTCAGTCTACCACCCACATTATACTTATCACATAAAGGAAAATTGATGTTAATTTTATAATTGAAATTGCACACTCTGAATGTATTACTCTTAAAATGGAAGTAAAATATTTTTTTATTATTAGTTGAGAAAGCCTCCATTAGGTAAGTCTTTTTAAAAATGTTTCTCCCTCTAATTCAAATCAGCAGCAGGATGCTATGAATGTCAAGGTGGAAAGATATCAGTCTGTATGTCAAACTCCGGTTAGTATGGAAGACAGTAACACTTTAATAAACAGGTGGTTATGCAACTCCCAGCTCTGTTAAAAGCAGATTGGTAGTCTATTACAAACTGATTAAATTTGCCACTTTTTCACTTCAAACAATTATATTTGCTCATTAACACTTGATATGTTGCATGCAGCTTAAGAAGAACATAGGAAAATTAAATATCAATCATTCTAACTCCTCAGAGATTTAAAACTGACTCATGTAATCATATTTTCCTTCAAAGAACAATAGGCATGTGCACCTGTGAAAGCTGCAGTGGAGAAGAAAAGGGAGAATGGGAAAAGTTATTCAAAGACTGATGTAAGTAGACATCAAGGGAATTAAACATGCAGCTTAACTGTTACGCTGTATTGATGTGTTTATACATATCTATATGAAAGCGTGTCCAAAACAGAGCATGAACATCATTGGCTATACTGCAAGCCGCGGCTCATGAGAGGCTTACTAGTAAGGAAGACATGCAGAGGCATAGTCTGTTTGACATGTGAAACAAATGTCTTTCCTTTCATAGTTAATACAGAGCCTTAAAGGAGTTTTAGAGATTATTCCCAGTTACCTTATCACCTTTGCAAAAGACAGAGACTGCATCTTACTGGAAGTGTTACTGTTGTGCAAAGGCTTTGTCAGGAAGCTGGGATACTGGAGAATAACACTAGCTGGCCTTCACAGCTGCATCTATCAGGACATTGCAGAGAACTATAAAAAGCAGATGAGTATTTTTAACCCTATTCTGCAGATGGGAAAGCTGAGACAAAGGAAGTAGAAGAAACTTTCTCATGATTCTTCATCAGGCCAGGGACAGAGCGAATACATAAACCTCTTGAGATCAGTGCTCTTCATTCCTCCAAAATGGAGATACAAATCTGCTTCCCAACTGGACTTAAAAAAATAAGATGTTAAAGGCGTAATCCACCAAAAAACTCACAGCCAGATTATTTTGAATTTGCTGTAAGTTGTATGCCCATTTTTAAATGAATTTTATATTCTTCAGTGAGGCAGTTTCTCACTCATTGCACCGTGGGAGGGAGTAGGCATCCCTGTGTGCACTTAGCTACACAGAAGAAACTGATGGGATCTGACCCAAGGAATGACAGCTGAAACAGTCATATATCCTTTACATCTCGGAAGAAGACTTGTTTCTACTCCTCTTATTCTCCTTCTTGACTAGGTACTTCTTGACACCATATCAGGAAAAAAGTGTGGCAGAGAAACTGTTGGGACTTGCTGGCGGATCTGGTACATAGACTTCCAGTACATTATTCATACATTATTACATACTTGGCTTTAAGAGCTGAAAGTACAAAACCCTCAAGCTTGGTATTTGCTATTCAAGTATTATGACGAGTGATAAAGCCGCATTTAAATTTGCTTCAGATAGGGATCTCATATGTCTACCAGAAAGCTGTCAGGGAGATCTTCTGGTGAACCTCCTGATGAAAACAACTGTATTAGAAACTGCAAGTAAAATGCCAACTGTGTATCTTTTTATTTTAGTATTCAATTAAAGGTGAAAAACAACAGCATCGTTAGCTAAAGGTTAAATGGAACAATCTATTTCTTCTTAGAAGAGGAGGGTGTAAAATCCCAAAGGGAATTAAGCAAATGCTGCATTTTTGTCCCAGTTTTCCTGTCTGGCTCATCTGCAGAAAGACTGTGGACTGAGGAATGTGGTGGGTGGGTAGCAGAAGTGGAAGCAGCAGCACATTTAAATGGCTCATGTTCTAAGATCACAAATTGTAATTCTGGCCTAAAAGTGTAACATTGCCAGTAGTGAGGCGGTTCTAGAAATAAGATCTGCTGTCCTGCCCCACTGTCATCTGACACAAAGTAGCACCTCATTTGGGACTGTCGAGAGCTGAAGTACAGAAAGGCAGAGATACGAAGCCTCCCACTGGTAGAAGTGGGGACTGGAGGCTGCAGACTCTGGGTTACTTAGGGGACGACTGAAGTCAGTAAGAGCTCTTATTTGACATGGCCAACACTTTCTCTGCTTTGATGAAAAGTCATTAAAAAGTATATATGACCTCTAAATCCAACACATGGTAAGATTATTCTGAGTATATTATACTCAGTACTCCAGCTGGCTCTCTTAAATGTTGGGCATGTGTTGAAATAACGTATGTGGGTGTAGCTCAACTTCTTCAGATCCACAGGGAAATGCAGGAAGCTCTGTCACAGAATACATATTACAGAGAAGATTCCCTCCAAGCAGTGGAAGAGCAATCAAATTTTCACATGCATGCTACCCAAGCACAGGCAGGAGATTGGCATATTGTTCAATATTATGATTAAGCAGTCACAGAAGACTCATCTTTCCCACCTGTTCTAGCTCTGAACTTGACCAAAAAATAAGTAAGAACTGCATCAGAATGGGCAAATTATGTTATTGAAGACAAGTACAGACTGAAAACTAATTTGCGTGTTGACAAAGGAATAGGTTCTTGTTCACAAGCAAGCTTTTAAACGATGGCCTGTAAAATTGTCTCTCTAGATCCCTTTGAAGAATCCCCCTGCAAGTGTAACATGTCTTTGGGTCTTCTACTAAAACTTGCTAACTGAAGTGTTTTGTATTTTAAGGACCTGAAGCCCAGTTATCATTGAACAATTAAGAGAACATACATTTTCATGACACTGTTGTCTCTCTGAAAAGTTTACTGAATATTTCTTACCATGACTTATTTCTTTTTTCGTGAGTAACAACATTTCTGCCAAAAAGGATGTATTTTGCTTTTCTACTCAAAACCTATTTGAACACAAAGGTAAAGGACTGCTTACTTGACATACCTGAAAATTAGATAATAATTCAGTTTGCTTGCTTCTACCCAAGTGATTGAGCCTACTCTGTCCTGGATATTGACTGTGGCAGGGATGCATATTAAAGAGTATAAACTGTAATCCAAGTACCAAAACCTCTTAGCCTCACATAACCAAAAAGAAAGCGTGATAAACTTACCTTGTGTAGCAATGTAGTGATTTGGTCTATGATAACCCTAAAATAAATTGAAAAAAAAATATAAGCAATATGCACCTTGACTATGTTGCTATGAGTGAAACTTCATTTAGAGTAGTATTCAGTAAAAATCACAACAATACAGGTAATGGATTAGATGCAGAAGTTCTTTCCCATGGGGGAAGGGCAAGGGAGAAGGGGAACAAGAAGCAAATGCGTTTTCTCCAAGATACTTAAGTTGCAGCCTTGTACATTAGGGGACAGAAGTAATATGTTCTTTCAGTCCCTTGTTGGCTCTGCTGAAAATGAATGGCATGAAATCCTCTGTAGCACTTGCAGCTAATGGCATCAGAAGGTCATGGAGGCTGAGATACACCTCCAAGCTATTGCTATTGAGTGCAAAGCCTATCCTTTTTTTAACAGCTAAAGAATGCTAGATTTTGCATTCAGCCTGGGGAAGAGTGGGGGGATGTTCACCCTGTCCACTGTGGTTTATTTATTTTTTATTTCTGAACAGTAAAAAGGAGGGTAAATGGTTTGGTATGAATACACTTGTTCACATCTAAATAGGAAGAACATAAAGCAATTCTATGTTTCTCTGATGACAAGAGCAACTTAATCACAAGCTGGCCGTGCAATAAAGATTATGGATTCTTAGCAACATTGAATAGGATGCCAATAGGGAACAATACCATTTTTATAGTATTTGAGTTTCTGATGTGATGGGAGTGTCACCAAAGGTTTAGATCATGCACTAGTATGTTGATAAATTCAGTTATACCAGTGTTAATCTTTTAAGAATGGTTATGATGCGTTGTCAGTCATCAACAGGAAGAACTCAAAGCAATAGCTTGCATGCCATTGCAATTTCTTTGTAAAAGAGCAAGGGACATTGTAGTGATGCAAGGTGGGAAAGACTCAAAACAACTGAAGATACTTTGAATATGACAGAAGAAAAAACATGAATTACAGAATTGATTCCTTTATGTGCCACTGAAGCAAAATTTGGAAGTCTATGAATTGAGAAGTGTTCAGATAGCTACAGAGTTGATTTTTTTTCTGCTATGTGTTATCTAATATCCCTAGTGGCTGGGATCAAACAATTCTGTTTCCCAGTGAAAAAATGCATGGGAAAAAATACAGCATAACCATTGCCCCTCTCTTTTTCATCCAAGAAAATTTCATAGTGTCTGTGATGATACCATTCCCTTATTAACATGTCTATTCTGACAATTATTATTATTACAGTTATTCTGTACTAATAACCTCATGCAAGAGTAAAATTGCAGCTGCTTCTGTAGTAGAAAAACACGCATTTCTAATGGAAACCTGACTAGCAAGACTATAAACAAAAAATGCTCTGTTTTGTGCTAGAGTTGTCTTTGGAAGATGTCTGCAGTCCTCCAAGCTTTGCAATGAAGCCATCTGCTGAGGACGAGGGAGAGAATTTTTTGGTTATCACCCACTGTTTCTTTTAGGGCCACAGTCTCTTCATCCTCTTGTACTTCCATAAGCAAAAAAGGTTGCTATGCAGCTATCTTATCAGCATTTTAAATGAGACTGTATGGTCCAAATCCTTATTCCTCATGTCTTTTAATATTTTAAGAGTCAGTTGAAAATCTGACACAAGAACATACTAGTAGCCTAAAATGAGAACAATCCTGAATGTTGGAGAAAGTGTGAAAGTGAATTCAAATCTAGGTCCCCAATGTGAACTCTCTCTTTCCTTTCATGACAGATTACTCCCTTCAGAGTTTAGTGAGACATCTAACTAAATATATTTCCATATGTGCCTTTACCTCTTGGTGACAGTGCTATTCTTTCAAACAGCAAGGGACTGAGCAGAAATCTGAGCTTAACTTAATGGTTCTTGAACATGCTAATGAACATCGATAGAAGGAGATATCTTCAGAAAATTACAGCTTCAGACTTCAGATTGTCACAACTGAAGTACCTACTTTTCTTGTATAGCTCTAGTTCCTCCATACTCCGAGGAAAACATCTGTTACATTCCTGTTTCATACTGGTGATTAAATTTAAACTGCAAACTGTGACACCATTTTTCAAAGATGCTACTGCTGAACAAGAAATCTTTAGCAGACACAGTTTCCTATGAAGCAACACTTGTTTTACTTAGCCTAAACATCTAGCACTCCATGTAAACAATAAAATTATTATCTTTGCTATCCATAGATTTCTGGCTTTAGATAGTATTGACTTTCTAATGATTTTCAATTCTACTTTTGAGTTCATTCTTTCAACCAAAAACACCTTGTCTCTTAAAGAATTTATTCTAATGTAAAACATTAAGTTAACATGATGCAGAATGAACAAAGAAGCCACCTTCAATAATTAAAGAGCCTACATATTTAATGAAATGTCTTGCTTGCATTAGAAGTACTGGTTAACAGCTGCAGAATATACTTTGAAGGCGACTTAAAAGTGCAGAGATGACAAGAGATTGCAAATCTCTGCATTAGGCATTACAGAGTTTTGTCGCATTAATATGCAAACAGCTTTTTTTAAATGTGGAATAATGCCAAGCTGTTGACAGAAAGTGAAAATAACATTTTGTTAGCCCATATAAGCACCAGCAGGCAAAGTAGCCATGCAGTGGTGTTGGCAAGGTTTCAGTCTAGTGGCAGTTGGAGGAAATGACTCCTTTCATTTGCTTATTGACAAAACCTTTGAGGCTTTTTTTTTTCCTTTAGTGTACACCTAGCTTCCAAAGATAGTACTTTCCAACAATGTTTAGCAGCTGATATTAGCTGTGATATCTATTACAAATTATGAATAACATGAGAATAATAAGAGCTCCCTCTTTGACTGAACACAATGTTAAGTTTGTTGACTGTATCAGTATACGCACATCAATATAATTTCCATTGATGTAATCAGAACTTGTTTCTCCTTCAATGGGCTGCAATCTCACTCGAGAATGATCATCTGAAACAGGAACAATGGAGAGAAAAAAAACTAATTAAAGACATATTCAGTAACAAAGCCTTCATCAAAATACTACTTTAAAGTCAAACTAAAACCTCAGCATTTGCAAATTCATGCTTGTTTTGTTGTCCATGAAAACATTGTATCTGCATTTAATCCTCATTTCAGTCATTCATAAAGCTTTCCAAATCCCCTCTGATTTTCAGTCTGAATGTCTTAAATATTTCTAATGTGAAATCCATTGCAATAATGTTTTTTGCCTTGATTGCCCCCCCCCCCCCCCCACAAAAAAAAAAA